CCCCCCCCCCCCCTCCACCCCCCCAAGCATCTTTATGCTTCAGGTGAAAGCAACATCGTGTCGTCAGCGCCTCAGAGACTCGGTGCAAGCAGGTCCTGACATGGGTCTCTGATGATACCAGGTGCAAATCATGTATTCTCAGGGTTTAGGGTGATGTTTTTCTTCTCATCATCTTGTCAGATTTGCAAGATGCAGTACCGCCACATTTTTCATGCAATTTATGCATGCCTCTCTGTTGCATGGAGGCCTGCGCTGGCATGACCTCGCCCGATCGGTGAGATGAGCCAAGCCCAAAGGGAGAAGCCACGATGCAGCAGTGCCATTCAGGCATGAGTTTCCAATTTTCATGCTTTGCTAAATTTGGCTGCCGGCTGATTGTAATCGCATGCCAACAGCGGAGAGCCACAGACTTCGCGGCAAGTTGCAGGTCTTCAGCCGAAGTGCCAAATTTGTGGCATGCTAATGGAGCCGCAGCCCACATGTGGGAGAGTTGTTTCCAGATTATGGTCTGTTAGCACCAGCTGTTAGAACCAGAAACGTACTTGGATATCATAAACCCTCATTTGGAGCAACCTCCCTCTTGCAGAAGTGCTTGCAGTGGGTGGCGTTGGCAGGGCTGAGTGAGGCTCGGCCGAGCCAGCTTAGAGTCGGACAGATGCCAAAGCCAAAAGGCAGCAAACTGAGTTGGGATGCAGGAGTTTGGGGGTTCGGGCTTCATGATTTTAGGGTTGGAGGGTTTTGGGGGAAGCGTCTAAGGTTAAGTTTAGGCGAGAGTGTAGGAGGGCAGAGAGGGCAGAGCCCTGACAAAGGTGACCAAGAGTTGATTTTAGTTGCAGCAGATTTGACGGCCCGTGGATCCTGGCCCATGTTGTGTTACTTGGCCTGCGCTTTGCAAAATCCAGGACCTGGAGCCTGCGAGGATCAACTTTGCGGGGCTTTCCTGTCTTGGCCCTCCCTTCTCTTCTCCCTCTGTCCCGCGCTGCCATGGCCCCGCGCTTACGGAAACGTCTGTTCAGCCGGGAAAGCTCTGAGTGCCTAACGGCACACGACACTTGCAGCTCAGCGAATGGTGGGCTTGAAGGGTTGCTTGACAATGGCCTGGGAAATGGTGCCGGGATGCACGGCCGTCTTCACCATCCTGCGGGTCAACAAGCTTGTCAGTCCTCACTCTTGGCCGCATCAGACCCATCACCCCGCCACGTCCAGTACCGCATTCACCAGTTCGAGTGGTACCGCACGACACCGTCACTGGCCACCCGGACACGGTGCTGGCATCGTCAGCGGCCACTCCTGGCAGAACCGGGAATGAAACTCGTCAGCCGCCATCCAGTAATCCTTCGACTGCGACATTGACGACCACAAACTTTGAGAGTCTTGTTTTTTGGACGTGGGTCCAGGTTCAGTTCCGTTGGCCCATTTCGACCCTAAACCAGAGGCAACAGAGCTCCATCTTGGACGGACCCAACGTGATCAACCCACACCATGCGGTGCGGTTTTTCCAATGCTTTACAATCACGCACGGCAATAAATCGTACTCCTTCAAGTGCTTTACATTCGAGCGCAAACTGTGTGCAACAAATTGTACTTCTTCCAATGCGTACAAGCTGTGAGCAAACAAATCGTACTTCTTCCAACGCTTCACATTCGAGCACAACCTGTGGGCAACAAATCGTACTTCTTCCAACGACTCACATTCTAGCACAACCTGTGGGCCACAAATTATACTTCTTCCAACGCTTCACAGTCGAGCAAAGCCTGTGGGCAACAAATGGTACTTCCTCCCATGCTTCTTGAAGCTATCTCAAAGTGTTTTCGAGGGCATGTTGCAAGTCCGCAATGCTCGCCGAGCACACATCTCCCGAACAACGCGCACCGTAAGCGCACACGAACCGTCTTCGACAAGGACTTGCCTCAGGACAAGCGAACCCGCAGGTCATGGTGATCATCATCAAAATTAGGATTACAACAACTAGTCTCGGCCTTACACAAAAATCGGACGGGAAGCCCGTATCGTCGCAAATAAGAGCTGTCGCATGCAAATTCGCGTGCGCAATCCAGGCTCAGAGCTTTTTTGGTTGCGGTTCGTTGTGTTGTGGAAGCCAGCCGTGCATTGCATTGGTGCATGTTCCTTCTGCCAGGCGCCCGAGCACATCACCACTATTTCTGGGGTGCCCCAAGCTCAGATGCTCGGCCAACCTGCGCAGCACATGCCCGCACCATCCCGCACCTGAACGCATCTCAGCGACGAAAGCAGGCCGGGTCGTCTTTTCAAGTTGTGCCGAGCGCAAGCGCAGAGCGTCTTCGACCGGAGCCCTTGGACTTCCGACAGCCGACGACCAGAAGGACCAGAACGTTGGATAGGCCCAGCTCAAGCACTCTTGACAGGGACAGGAATCAGCCACCAGAGAACCTTGCAGAGCACAGCGGAAGCCCAGCGACTCTCCAAGCACGAGGCCGGGCGGCTTGGGTAGCCTCGGAGTGCAGCGAATTTGTAGTTCACTTCGGGGAGCAGTTGTGACTCTGCTTGGGTGCCGTGGCCTTTGGGGTGAGGAACCTTTGGCATTTCTTTCCATGGAGGTCATGCCCTGTGGTCGGACTTGCTCTGTCTTGCTACCGCTGTGAGATGGAGGTCATGCCCTGTCTTATGGCTCTGGCAGCTCATCGTTCCTCTTCCCTTTGGGCTGTGGGTTGGGCTGTGGGACGGAGGTTTACAAAACCAGGTGGGTGCCTCGCAATCTCTGTGGTCAGGTTGCGCTCATCTGCCGCTGACGAACTTCCACGAGGCCGGATTTTCTGTGCGGTCGTCAAAGGTCCGAACGGGATTTTCTTCTGAGCCCGGGTCGCGCATTGTCGTTTCGCGCACTCGGACGCAGACCGCACCTGCGCAGACCCACCCCCAAACAAAAAGAGACCCATAAGGCCCGAAATAGTTCCTTAATATGGCCATACTTTTCACCTAAACCTTGACCCCTAAACCGTAAATTCGAAATCGAAGTCTTAGAGCCAAACTGAGCGACGAGAGCCAAGGCGAGCAGAGGGGACATCTGCATCGATTTTTGCAAGCCGAACCGAAATTCTTGATTGTCACGCCAAGGGGGTGCATCCAGAAAGTCATGACTGGGGAAAGGGTTAGCAAGTGTCAATCCAACTTGCTCACAAACCTCCGCCCGCCAGCTTCCCCCGCCTGCGAACTCCTCATCAGCGGCCCACATCAGACGCTTGAGCGTTGGCATCACCTATCAGGATGACGCGGGCAGACGAGGTTTGGAAAAGAAGGCGTTTCAATCTCTGCTGGCCATAGGGAGCGAGGAGCATCAAGTCACGTGCACCATACCACGCTGAAACGGACCGCCAATCCGACGTCTGCAGCAAAACAACCGCTTATCCAACAGCCAAGCTGCAGCCAAACCAATAAGCGGTACCCCGACAAAGCAGAACAAACTGGGCGGTGGTGGTTCGAAACTCCGAAGGTGACTCTGACTCTACCACATGCTCTCACACCGACGGCAAACATTCTCGTAAAGACTCCGACCCACCTTCTCCGCCCTGGGAAGAACAAAGAGAAGCAACATCCCACATGTGATCCACAACAGCATCGTATCTCCTGCGAGGCTAATATTACATCCCAAACCCGGGCTATGCAGTTATGCAGGAAATGGCTGACAACGCATCTCCAACCGTTCAGAAAACGAAACATGACTTTTAGACACCACTTTGAAAAACAATGGACAAGGGCTCACCAAGACTGTACTCCTGACGAACCTTCCCCACCGGCCTTCAATCCGCTTGGCCGCAGCGAAGGCCTCTGCACAGGCTTTCTTTTGCACATCGGCGCCAAGGACTCCGAAAATTCGGTGGAAGCTGGTGCTGTCACCGAAGGGGCCGCAAACACCAGCGAGTCTTGATGACCGAGCGCAGGAGGTTGGCCTCAACGAGGAGGTTCAGCACCCACGGAATGGTGAAGAACAGGGTGTAGGCTGTTCCTTGAAGGCTAAAGGCTGGCCATACACCTACGTCGAATCAAACCGAGCCAGCAAGGGGCCAAAGTAGACCAGTGCAGCCTATGTCCAATGGCGCGCAAGAGCCAGCCTGCCAAAATGTCTTGAACCATGCTCAGCAGGCTTATGGCGGTGAAAGCTTGTCAAGGAGTGAGGGGATTGTCTGGTTCTTCGGTCGACCCCGACATTCGTGGCAGAATGACTTGGTGTCGGGATGAAGCACGCTCCATGGCATTGTGGTGAAATCAATGCACAACCGAATGCGTCACGGATTCATACCAAAGGGCCCTCAACTTCACAAAAACGAGCGCCGCCCCTCCAAAGCCCGAGACCCTGCAGCTGAACAGTCGTGACTTGACGTTGCCATGGACCAGCTCGGTGTAGGAAGCAAGCATCAAGGCAGCATCGCAAGGGACCTTCAAGGCAAGACGAGACCCCAAGTACGCGTGGTTTGGGCGAGCGGCTCACCACCCTGCCAGGCAAAAAAGAGCCTGCAAGGCTGCGCCAGCTCCAAAGCAACAAGACAAAACACAACTCGCCACAGTAGCAGTACTGTAGTTGTAGCACATACATAGACGGGTTTTGAAAGGCATGGCGTCAGAGTGCCAAGGAGCGGACAGGGAAGGGAGGGAAGTGGAAGACAGGGGTCTAACATACACGGAGCAAAAAACAAGAGAAACATACCGCATCTTTCAGCAAAGGTTTGAAGCATGTGGCTCAGCCTGAGGCAGCATGGATTGTTTGGCGCCATTGGGAGCGTTGACGGCACGAGATCCTCGCCCGCCTTCTGGCCGAGTGTCCAGGTACGTGATTCTTTCACGAGTTGCACGCAGCCTGCTGACGTGTCCCAGAAGTCGGCAGAAACTTTGAGGCTGCCACTGCATAGGAGTGAGCTATTGCCCCTGCGACTCAGTAGTCTTTCCGGCGTGCTCAGCAATCAAGATCGGGGCGAACAAACGGAACTTCATGAATGCTCGCCAAAGAAATTGGCGTGTGGAAGTTTTATCTCTGCGGTGACTTGGTATGTTCGCTGCAAAACCCGCGGTTAAGTTCCGAACATTCTGTGAACCCCTGAGCTCCGAGTTACAGCTCAGCACGTGTAGACAAACGGCCATTATGGAACCTTCGGCAAAAACCTCCACATACACACACATGCTCCCACAACACACACAGAGAGGTTTGCTTAGTTGTAGACACCTTGATTTCTCAACCGCATCCTGCAAGTCTTTGGGCTCAACGGAAGCCTGGGGCAACCTACGTCTT